TATCGGTGTAGATTTTTAAGGGAGTTGTACGGTGGGGAGGATGGAATCTGTCTTGACAACCAGAGGACAAATGAGCTTTAAACAGCCCAGACTCCTGGGGTGCAATTCTGCAATGCACCTCCAGGGGGTGCAGCACAGATACCCTAACCCAGCAGATGGGGCAGAGGAAAGGTTGCTTAAAGCAGGCTGCATTAATTTAGAGCCTGCCCCAGCCGCTTCATGTGTCCAGGTGTGGTCACAGGAAGGAGAACGCTTCCCCTAGGTCCATTTCCAGCTCAGACACGGACTCACAGTGTGACCTTGGACAAGTCACTTCGCCTCAGTTTCCCATCTGCATCATGGTAAAGATGAAAGGCCTAGAGTCCTCTGAAGGGCTGAGCACAAATAAATGCCTATCAAGCACTTGGACAGCCTCAGACAAGACAGACCATCAAGGGTACCAGCTGCATGAAGAATTACACTAAGGCGGAATATGTACATTTCAAGAGCTCAGCCCTTCTTTTCTGAAGGACTCAAAGGCCATGGAGCCTTCCATCTCCAAGGTGAATGCTCCTCTCCCACCCCGGTCTGTAGGGTCTGAAGGACGTTGCCAACTGACTGCGCTTAGATCAGTGAGCGTCTCAGTCTCCACCCCTGGTGGGACACACGTCAACACCACTTGTCCCCCTTGTGGACCTGGGTCTGAAGGGGCTCTGAGATCCTGTGCTCCCTTCTCACTCCTGGTCAGCACCCAGGCACATGGGTGGTGCAGAGGGAGATAAATATGAGCTACTTTCTCCCCTGCACCTGATCTGGGGATAAAGAGAGCTCTTTGCACCCTCCACCCCCACTGCTTTCCACCCAGCCTCTTGCACTTTACAAGATAAAAAAGCAACAGGGAAATTTGGCATGAGGAAGCAGCTCAATTAGGGGAAGAGACTTTCTATTCTCCAAAAAGCCTGCAGATGACAAGGAACAGTTTGGAGAAGTTCATACCTCATGTAGAGGGACCCTCTGCTTGATTAGCAGTAGACACCACTCATGTCTTTATGGGCTCCCTGCATACCATTCTAGGTACTTCCCTGGCTCTCCATCACCCAACAGTGAGTTATGTCAGTACCTAACTCCCATTGAAATCAATGGGAGTTAAATACATAACTACCCTTGGGGATCTGGACCTGACTGCTTGGTGGGCCCCATCCCTTCACTAGGGCTAGAGAAGTGAATTCCCTGGAGTCTGAATTGCGTCTTTCATCCAAATTGCTCCACCAATGACACACCTGCACTGCTGAGGCACAGGTAGTCACTGATTATCTATTTATATTCTTTCCTTCCCTACCCCTGCCAAGTCATAGTGCCAACAGTGCTGGATATAGCATTAGCTGAAATTTAATCAAGAGATGCATCACTGAAATCAAATCATCATCATCATCCAAGCTGGCAAACCTTCATGACTTCCTATTCTCACACTGAGTCACTCAGTATTCCCTTTGGCTAAGGAAATGCTTACTGGGGATAACGATACAGATGTCCTCTGTAAAGCGCTCTGAGATCCACAGATGAAGAGTGCTAGATGAGAGCTAGGGATTATCATCCTTTTTATTCCCACAATGCATAATTAGACTGTGGAACTCAATGCCACAGGAAGTCAGTGAGACCAAGAACTTAACATTCCAAAAGGGACTGGAGTGATTTATATGGATAGCAAGAAAACCCAGAGCCATCGTAATTATGGACGACAATTTTGGAAGGAGTATTAAACTTCAGGGCTTCAATCATTCCCTACGCATTAGAGATCAAAATGAGCCCTAATGTGGGGGCAGATTATCCACATCTGCTACTATGAGACTCTTGCACCTTCCTCTGAAGCGTCTGGTGCTGCCATTATCAGCAGGGGGATACTGAGCTCATGAACCATGGGTCTGATCCAGTCAGGAAATCTTTATGTGCCTACTGCTATTGGAGATTCTTCTGTCACACAGGTGAGTGGGGGCTTTTGGAGCAGGAAGATCTGTATTCTAGTCCTGCTGAGCCATGAAGTGCCAAGGCCATAATACTGCACTGGCCAGTCACAGAGGTCAAGCTACTAACAGGACTGACCTTGGGCTAGGTAGTATATGGAGTTGGAGCTAGTTGAATGTACGGGATGCATTTTGAAACGGACACTGATTTAGAAGTCCCGTATGCCAAGTAAAGCAGCATGAACTTTACATTGTTATTCCAAACCTATTTGTTTTCTTCACATTCCTATAACAGGAGGGGACGAAAACCACTTGCTGTTTGGTTAAAAAATGTTTTGCACTGAGTCCTAATTACGCCAATGTCACCCCCAGAGAAGATGACCACAGAGCAAATCTGCATCATTGGGAAAGGGGCTTTCTACTGGAAATGTTTATGCTGGTGACTTCATCCCAGGTGCCCTTTTTGCCTGGGGGAAACAGGGCTTCAGTCATGGGGAAACAAAGCTGTCTTTAGCAGTGGAAACACCATGTGGCTTCCTTGCTTTGATTCTTCCTCTGCTGTCTCACTTTCCATTCTCACTGGGGCTGATTCACAGAAAAGAAAGGTTCCCCACATTGCCCCTCCCCCACAAACTGCAAGCCTTGGGCAGGCATGGAGCAGGACCGGAACGGGGCATGCTTCTCAGCAGGGGAGCTGATCTCAGTGCTGCTCCACGCCTGCCCAAGGCTTGCGATTGGGGGGGACGGGGAGGGCAAATGCCCCCAAACTATGCCCAGGTTAAAAAGGGGGGGGACATAGGGGTCATAAACAGGCGTCAGCAGGCACACCCACCCTGCACTGATTGCTAACTTGGAGTCGGGGGGTCCTGGCTAGATGGGGGTAGGGTCCCAGCGCAGTACCAGCTGTCATGCTCCTGTACTAGCTATGGACTGCTCATGGAGCTTCCTTCTGAGCCAGATACACACCAGATGGGCTCATCCCATCCTTCATTGCCCTGCCTGGTATGGCTGAGGTGAGCTTTTGTAAAGGGTATTTTACACATCGCACGCTTTGGCCTTCCATTACACCAGTATGGAAAAGCCGAACTACAGCTGCAGTAATGTAGCATATTGGGCCAGCTCTGTTTTTCCTCTTGATCTCTTACTTTGCAGCCCTACCATGCTGTAAAGCAATATCTGATCTGCCAAGCCAGGGCTCAGCATGGGATAATTCAAATGTACCTTTTCCAAAGCATAGCCCAGCGGGCCAGCATTTAGTTCTAACTGTGCAAGCAAAGAAAGAACACAAGTTACCAGCCTGAAGACACTTCCTTCTGCATTGGCAAAGGGAGGAGTGCCTGAGTTCTCTGCAACTCTGAGTACTGAGGGACTATTTTGCAAAGCTACAGAACTCCACAGCTTCCTTTCTTCTTTCCTCTGCACTAGAGGAAGTTCAATGCACCAGAATAGACCCATGGGCCACCCTGTCTAGCTTCTGTTCCTACAATGGCTAATGCCAGATGCTTTGAGGAGGGTGTGAAATCCTTGCAATTAGAAAGGAGTCCAAGCTTTGACATTTGGAACAGGTTCTGGACTCGGTCCCCCTTGAGACCACAACTGAGAATGACGAAACATGCAATTGGGTCCCCAATACCCATGTTTGCAAACAGACATGACCTAGCTACATATACACTGCTCCTATGTCAGGATCTGGTGGCTAATCTGCACTAGAGAGACAGCCAAGCCCACTAGATGGTTCCTATGCTATTTAAAGGGATACCACCCAATTTCTGCACCATAGATCCCATCTCTCTTTACAACAGGTCTTATTGGGTAAGACTATCCCATGGTAGAGGGAATTGCTTCCCCACCTCAGCTGGTGAGCAGCTCATGCCCTGAAACTGTTGTGTGGTGAGGACTGTGTTGGAATTGCAAGCTATTGCTCTAAGAGTGGTGGAGGAAGTGGGGGGTAGGAGGTCTGGCCAGTCTTGCAGGCTAAGGGACTCTGTCTGAAAGTACATGATCAGAGTCAGTATTGGAAAAGGCCATCTTAAAGAAAGGCAAGATAAAAGCTTCCAAGCCACCGAGAGCTTTGCTTCAGGTCTGGCAAAGGCGCTCCCAGCATCACAGCAAAATGCAAGGGGTCAGTAATAGATCTGCCCCCAGCCACGAGCCAGGAAACGAGGCATGAAAGCTTTCGCTCTGATCTCGGCTCTCCCTGCCTTGCTGAGACACTATTGGACTCGGAGGCCAGCACAGAGCTGAGGAGACCCAGGATGCCACTCCAGCCTCAACTCTGACCTCAGCAGAGAACATGTGGGGGATACCCCAAGCACCATTCTAGAATGGCTTCTTGTGGATGCTTCAAAGAGAAGCTGTCACAATGACCAGACTCCCAAAGCCACTAGGGCCCCCAATCAAACAGCATTATATTCGCTGCACAAGAGCTCTGATTCCTTCCTTACCCAGGGGATAAGCTCAGAGGTTTCACCAGCCTATGCTACAGGGGTGAATGTGAGCTGAGCACATATAGCTCCTGTGCACTGCACTCCTCCCCGCCCCACTCCCTGGAGCAGGCGTGTGGCAAGAGCAGAGATCCCAGGCACTTTGCATTGGATTAATAGGCCTTTGCACCGACCTCGTGGTGCCATCACAGAGCCTGGCAGCTCTGCCAGCGAGAACAGCTGGGATCGTAGGGCTCTCACACAAGCCCTGGTTAGAGGGCTGGAAGGAGCTTCATCATACTAACCGGGAATTAATTTTAATGGGCTTGAGGGAGCCGAAGAGTCAGATTTGTGGGGAGGGGAGGTCCATATTAAGACTGACAGAGTCCCTTTAATAAGGTGGGAAATCACCTACATGGTATTAGGGACTTGCTAAATGATCCCTCCAGAGGATGTGTCACCAGCCCTGATAGCCAGCAGCGTCACTTTAGAAGCCCAGATCCTCAGGCGGTGGAGTTCACAGAGAGTGACTGATTTGCAACAGCTGAAGCGTTTCTCTCATCCAAGAGCTGTCCCCATTGCCATGCCGGCCCCAGCTGGAGGAGGTTAGAGCCAACAATGATGTGATATACATCGAGAATCGCAGGACGCTGGAGCACTTCACCATAAAGCAAGGACAGCTGCAATGGAAGTGCTGGCTTCCCGGCAATGTGCCTCCATCCCTACCCGGAGGGGCCAAGCTCTCGGAGCCAATGCAGCCAGGATCCCAGTTCTCTGCTGGTGTTATCAGTGCAGCTCCAGCCAGTTACAGCAGCAGTGAACGTGTTCCTGGCTCTCCGGCCCCTCCAGGTGAAAGAGAAAAAAAAAAAAGTGCGTGGACACTGCGGCTCCTGCAGCCACATGCATGAGCCACCCAAGCTCAAGCCTTGAGTGTCAGGTGGGCTTGAGTGGCTAGCACAAGTCTACTCAGGCTGGGAACTTCACCCGCACCTGCAGCGTAGAGACACCCATAAAATCCTTGGTCATTTTTGTTGCGTCCCAGTTGTGGCTGTGGGTTTGGGAATGCTGATCTGAGCTAGGTCTGAAGTAGGCCAGGCACTTCCTGGACACAAGATAAGACAGATCCTGCCCCAAACAGCTTATCATTGAAGTGTCTGGAATGCAAGTGGGGTGGATCAACACAAAAATAATTTCCCAGCCTCCTTTCCCACAGGCCAGACAGTCAAGAGAAGTAACGGCTTTGGGTCACTACCCATCTGGGCTGGATTTGGACTCCCTAGCCAATCCTCTCTCTCTGCTATCCAATCTGCATCCCAGCATGACTTGGGTAAGAAAGATGTGGGTGACAGGGAGCCAGACTTCCACAGCTAACAGCGGATTTCTTAAATTAGACATGGTCACTGGATCCCCAGCTGTTCAGAGAAATCCTGGTCAGGATCCAATAAAGCAGTGGTGGGTAAACTCCATGAATGCTCACTCCACTCTGCCCCACTGGGACTGCTCCATGGGAGCTCTCTGGGAATGCTCCATGAATGCTCACAAAATTGGGGTTGGGGTGCAGGAGGGGTGCAGGCTGGGGATTACTCACTAACCAATCAGAGTGGAGGGGGGGCTGGGGATGAGGAGTTTGGGATGTAGGTGGGTGCTCTGGGCTGGGACAGGGGTGCAGGTTCTGGCTGGGGGTATGGGCTTGGGGGTGGGGCTGAGGATGAGACGTTTGGGGTGCAGGAGGGTGCTCCTGGCTGGGATTGAGGGGTTTGGAGAGCGGGAGGGGGAATAGGGCATGAGGAGGGGCTCAGGGGTGCAGGCTCCAAGTGGCGTTTACTTCAAGCGGCTCCCAGAAACAGTGGCATGTCCCTTCTCCAGCTCCTATGCCGGGAGAGGCCCCAGACCCTGCTAGCACTGGAGTAGGGCCGTGTGGGCTGCTTCCTGGAGCTGCGTGGTGCAGCCGTGACCCAGAGCCCCACCCAGAGCAGGGCCGAGCCACGCAGGCCAGCTTAAAACAGCCCGTCGGCCGTAGTTTGCCCACCCCCGCAATAAAGCAATAGGGACGCGCCCCGTCTAAGCCCTGCATCAGAAGCCATCCCAAAGCATGTATTTGCCATCAAGTTTCCCACCACTAATTATCAAACGTGCTCCTTGGTGACAGCGTCTCCCTGCATCACGTGCCGGGAAGCCCAGCTTGGGGCACATGTACACTACAAAGGCTCCGAGAGGATAAATAACTGCGTAACAAGCAGCAGAGGAACATGGCCAAAGAGAAACAGGTGCCATAGAAACCTGGTTGCTTCGGCCTGCTCTTTCCACTGGGACACGCTCCCTTGGAAAGGGGTGTTTCCCCCTCATGCTTAGCCAAGAGGCTGGTGATATGACATTTTTTCCTTAGGGGAAGATTCAATGGAAATTATCCTCCCCCCCCCCAAACTCACTCATTTCCCAGCCAGGGATTCTATGTCCCCATCTCCTCCTTGTACCATTTGTCTGCATTATTTGCCAGACAGAGGTAATAGTGGCATCTTTCCCCTGGATCGCCTTAGTCTGACTCCCTCCCCCCACATGCTGTGAATATTATTCAGAGGCCTTAATATTGCCCATGCTCTCCAAACGCCCCTGAACAGCTGCTTCTGAGCTGCACTAATCAGAAATTGCACATGGTTGAAGAACAGAGGTTCATAATAAGCTAGGCCATAGCTGGGTGCAAACATGCCCTCAACAAAGAGGCTCCAGGAGACTATACAGAGAAGCTATTGGTCACAGACTGACAAGAAATTTCCAGTACAGCTGTCTGCTCGGTTCAGACAAATAGCGTATAAATCAGGGACACTGTAGTGCCTTCTGTTAATGCCTTTGTACATGGCGTTAATCAAGGAGTTTGCGGGGGAGGAGAGAAACCATCAGTAAAAGCTATTCTGTTCTGTACATTTACGTGTGCTCCACAAACACACTGTATACGCTTCCTCGTCTGTAACCTCACCTCACGTCTAATAGCTGCGCCCCCTCAGTTTCTGCTCGAGGAGCACGCAGTACTACATGTTTAGCGTAGAGCCAAACTGGCACAGAGACAACAGGTTAAGTAACTCTAATGAATAGGAAGATAACTGTTTTACAAGACAAGCGTCCAGCATTTCAGCTTCTCAGTATCTGTGTAATTCCAGAGAGAGCTGTTACAGTCTCTCTCCAGGAACTAGGCATATCAGCAGCCTTAATTTGTGCAGTTTGGAAAGGGGATGAAATAAAAAAAATATATAAAGGTCTCCTCAAGAAAGAGAGGGCTCAGCTGTAAAAATTAAGAAACTGATCAAGGAGGAAAAAGATCTTAACACATGAGAAAAAGTTGCCAGCTAATATCTTTTCATGTACAACAGCATCAATCTTCCTTGAAGAGGCAAATACGAATCAAGACTAATCCCAAAGTGACTTTATACAGAGAGAAGATTCAGATTGTTACACCAACAGGGCTATTCTCCGCATGTCTCTTGTAAATGGCTCATATTGTTTATACATTTCAAGGTTGCCAGATCTGCCTGTCAGGGAGTGCAAGGATCTGTCAGGCAGTTGCTCTCTGGGACTTACCTTTTGGAGCTGTAATAATTCTAGGATTCACCCTTGAGTGCCCAGCTGTCAGGAGAAACAGGTGGCTGGTCCATAGGGCAACGAGATAGGTAGGACGTGAGTTCAGACCCATTTCCACAGCTCTCCAACGAGCTCAGCACCCTACTTCTGCAAGAAGAGTAGAGAATAACACTTAACATGCAAACCTTTGAAAGTGGGTGTGACTAAGTGATTACTCACTAACCAATCAGAGTGCAAGCAGGAAAGGGGAGGCAAGGGCAGAAAACAGTTACCCCAGCTAGGTATAAGGGTTTATCAAAGCTTGGAAATTTACCAAATCAGCTACTCTGGAATAAGAGTCCACATGAGGAGTTATGGCAGGGTTTCTGGTCTGGAATTATTGTAGAATAAGAATTCCAGACTAGCTATTTCACTTCATTTCCAAAGGAAGATAAGCCCTGACTCACCAGCCAAACCCTTTATGAAGGGAGGCTGGGGGGAGTATGACATCACTGCCTGAATCCAGAACACCTGCTCCTTGTAGATGAAACAGGGAGCAGCGATTGCCCCACAGATCCAAGGGCCAATCCCTGCCAGCTCCATACAGCTGTTCTTGGGGAACTTGGCACTCTGCAAGCTGGCAGTGCCAGGGAGGGGTCACTTTGTGCCTGTGGAGACAGATGGGATAAATCCTCAGGGTTAGAGAGATACTGCAGCCCCCTGCTTACTTCTGTAGCATTGCAACCCCAAGCATTCAAGAATCATGACTGCAGGCCCCTGAAATCATGAGATTGCTTAAAAATCGTGAGCTTCTAAATAGAATACATTGGGGGTGATTTATTTTTCTTGGCTTTCTAGCCTTTGAGGGCCATCTTTACAAGTTTTCTTCTGCCACCATAAGGGACAGAAACTTACTTTAAAAAAAATAAAGAAAGCGGAGATTCTGGTGTATTCCCCTAACTTTGGTGTTTAGGGCTTTTAACTCCAGCTATCGCCAGGCTCACGGTAAGAATCACAAAAGTTGGCAGTGGTCTGCCGGATGAGAGACAGCATAGCCTAGGGGGTAGGGCACTAGTCTAGTACTCAGAACTGGACTGTATTCCTGGCTCTGCCACTGGCTGCTGGGTGACCTTGGGCAAGTCACTTTGCCTCTCTGTGGCTCAGTTTCCCTTTCTGTAAAACAGGCCTAGACTTGAGCCAACTGGCAGTCTAGGTACTTACCTAATCCATGAAGCCAATGGAATATAGCTCTACTTAACCTTGACATTGGAAAAAAGATGACATCATGAAAATCCCTCCTGTATTTCAATTTGATACATCTTTCTTCCCCTCCAATCCTATAATGTTGTGCCGTGTTGCTGTTCACTTATAAACAGCTGTTATGTTCCACCCCAGAAGTGGTGGCATTTTTGTACTGGGTTCATTGATCCCTCTGCATACTGGGCCCAGATTTAATTTACCGCTCTGGCAGTGTGAGCCTTAATGCGAGTGTAAATGTAATTCATGCCCACTTTAAGGCCCCCCTTTACATTATCAAGGTGGGTGAAAGTACATGAAAGTCAGGTCCATCATTTATAAAACAGCAGCGTAGTATATATAAATGTCACTCCCTTTCTAGGCCCAGCAGCTGTTGTTGATAATGTGAGACTAAAATTTTTTTGCACCTAAAATTTGGTCTGTACACACAAAAGATACATACTGCTTTCAAGGGTATAATGTATTATTATTTCCTTTATAGTTTATGTCCTGAAGTATCTTAGCTCTGGTTTTGTGCTGTGTGTTTATACAATTAGTATATTATTTTTACAACATTGCAAAGTCAGGACTATCTGAAAGTGATTAGCTTCGTATAAATTCTATTAATAAAAATAGGAAGACATTGGTCAGCACGGTGATTTATTGGTGCAATGGGTAAATCATGGTAAATTCAATTAACAGAGCAAAACAATTTCTAAGAAAAATGGCATTTCATTTAAACTAATATTCTAAAAGGGAGATTGAGATAGCAGTCCAGAAGATACCATTATGGTCCCCTAAACTACCAGTTAAGGTATTTATTTACATAAAACTATCTAATTGGTTAACTTTGCACCAATCCTCAGCATTCTGGATACATTGAACTCCAGCCACGACAATTTTTAGACAATGATGAGCTAGGATTCTCTCTCAGTTGTAATAAAAATAAACAATCTATTCTTTGCATTAGCTGCATCCATGCATGTGATATTCAAGTGTTTTTATCCTGGCATTAAGAACGTGGCTCTGGACCACAAAATTTAGCTCCAAACTCTCCCAAGGGGTCTTGTTTCAGGGCCTATTCAAGCCAGTTGCACTTGGTATAACAGGAAAAACCACACTTCATTAAATCCATTTTAATCTCTGAGTTTATTCTGGAGCTTAGGGAAGAAACACAATCGTTTTTATAAATAGCTTGAACTTCAGCCCAGCCCTCCAACCAATCACTGTCAAAATGCTTCCTCCAGAGGGTTCCTCTTATTTCTAAATGGCTGTTTTCATACATTTCCCTGTGTGATGGTTCTTGTGTGCAGGAGGTGGGCGTTAGCTCCCTAACATTAGCAACCTTTCAAGAACTCTCCACCAGCCCTGTCTTTGCCTTATAGGTAACAAGAGGTGCACACCAGTCCCTGAGGCCCTCTGAATATTCCCCTCTGATAGCCAGCCCGACATGGACTACTCACAGAAATCCCAGATTCTCTGCCCCCAAAAGAGCAATGTACCCTGGTTTACCAGTTTTACCTTAAATCACTGCTCCTGTACACACACAGCACCTGTAAGAAACAAAAGATGGCTGATTTAAACAGGAAATAGAAATGAGAAAGTGGTGGAAACAAATGGTTACTATACAAAACAATCAAAAATCACAAATTAGGGCCTAGACTTATTACTAGTTACCTTTCCCATCTAATAAAGAAGGTTTTCCCCTAGGGAGACCAGATAGCAAGTGTGAATATCAGGACAGGTTTTTCCGTGTTGGGGGGGAGGGGGGGAGAGATTTAGGTAATAGTTGTGTATATAAGACAAAGCCCCTAATATCAGGCGGGTCCTGATAATATCAGGGCATCTGGTCACCCTATTTCCCCCCCCCACTCCCAAAGGTCAGTCCATTGCAGAGCTGGCAATCAAAGGATGGCAAAGAAAATGCAATTCACGCAGCCAAAGGAAAATAACTTGTAAACACAAAGCAGAAGGGAAACAGACCAACCCTCGCGAGAAAAATGATCTTCACATGTTTTATAATTATATTTTATATCGGGGGGTAAAATCCAAGCTTTATTGTTCAGATTTTGGGATTCATTTGAGCAGTGAGGCAGGGCAATTTGGTTGTGCTAGGGTTCCCTTTAACTTACGGCAATAAAACATGCCGGGGGGGAGGGGGGGGCAGATTTTCAGACACAAATGGACTCGTTCCCCTCTGTGTCTCTGAAAATCTGATTTGCACTATGATTTCTGAGAGGAGATGCTTATTCTGGGTAATAAATCCCTGATCAGTAATCTGGATCTCTGTACGCAGTAGAGGTGCCTTACCTTTGTTTTATATGCCTCACCCCTGTGAGCAGTTTAAGCTCCGGCTGTAGGAGTGGAGGGCCCTGCTGAGTGATTATGTTCCTGAACTGCATGCATATAGTCTAAGCAGAGAGTTAGGATGTTATCCTATACTCCTCACTCAGGCAAAATCCCCATTTGGTTAACAGGAGCTTTAGATGATCGGGTCTTTAATTGATTATTTGTGACCACAGCCTGGGCTAGCGCAGCATTCTGTCTTGCGGCTCGGAAAGCATGTGAGAATTATTAAAGGAATGGGGTCAGAGGCCCAGATACAGCAAGCAGGGAGTTCATTCCACACTCTCCTTTATGGTGTGCAAGGCAGAGTAGCAAGGCCCCCATACAGCAAAGCTCGTAAGCATGTGCTTCCGTGGGTTAGGGTTAGAGTTAAGCATGTGCTTAAGCGCTTTGTTGAATCAGGGCCAGAAACAGCACTCGAGATGGGAGAGCGGCGGATCCCAAACCCCTTGATGTTAATAGGAGTCTTTCCCATGACTTCAGTGAGTTTTGGAACAGGCCTGAAATGAGAGGGATGTGAATAGCAGCTGAAAAAGGGCTGCACAGCATAAGGAGGGAACAATGGGATTCTGGGTTCTTTCACTCCTCCAGCAGCTCACAAGGACAGAATACAGGCGCCAGCCAGGATGATGTTGTGTTGAGTGCGGAAGAACCCAACAAGTTCAGCCTTATGGGGTCTCGCTGCCAGTGAGCTGCCAGCCGCGGAGCTGGGAGTTGAATTCTGTTTTGGGTTTAACGCCAATAGCTTCCCCGTCTGAGGCGGCATTTTAAAACACAACCTGCCATTCACAGCACTGGCCTTTGAAGACTAAAGACATGTTGGTGCTCAGATCCTACCGTACAATCAGGGAAAGAAGGACAGGGTTATTTTTACAGTGCCTGGGTTAGAACAGTACAAATGGACTTGCGCTTTGCCCCAAAGAGCTAACTAAGATCCATTTATACAGGAATTGCCGTTAAAGTTTAGCTACCACCAATATTTTCTGTGACACACTTTTGTGCCTTGCTGCTGTGCTAGAGCGCCTCCTAGTGTTACCACTGGTGCCGTGCATAATTTCCCAGCACAAGGTCCTGCATTATGACTGTTTGTAAGAGCAAATATTTATACGTGGTTCCTTTCATTCAGAAATCCCAAAATGCTTTACAAAACTGTAAAGCCAGTTTCCAGGCAAAGCCAAAGTTTGCCTGCACCTCTAGAGTTTTCTTTAAAATGTTGTTAGCCTCAGAACTGGCAGGTTAGATCTGGGGACAAGGTAGAATTTTTCTACCAAGCTTGAAGTGAGTTGGAGAAGGGGATCCTGAATTATGACACCCTGGGCTCCAGCAATCCCAGACTGGCAGAATGGCCACTGGAGCTATAGGTAGCCGGGTATAGTATTGCGCATTTTTGGACACCATGGATCAGACCAACTTTCAGAGTTAGCCCGGACCAGGGAATTTAAAGATGGTTTAGATTACCTTTACTCAGACTCCCTCCCATGCTGTGCCTAGCACAGCTCGGTCAGACCAGAGAACTTTGAATGGAATCTGGATCCTGATCTGAATGTCAGAGCTCTGCTGTTCTGAAAACACAAAAATCAATTAAATGCAGGATGCAGAGCAATGCAATCTTTCTGAAGTGTTTTCATTCCTCATCAGATGCCTGAACCATAACTAGCTGAGCCAGACGCCTGGTTTCCCACTTTATTGAGCAAGGACTGAGGTAAAATAGAAATTAGGAAGATTTCAAATTGTTCTTCATGGGTCAGCCCTTCCCCTAAAAAGCCCTGCCAGCCCTTCCCTTAAAAATTCCTGCAGCTTTGCAAGTCAATTTCATGCAAGTATCAGACACCTCAGTGATGGATTCTATGCAGTTTTGCCTGAATTGCAACATTCAGATGCAAAATCAGACCTAGATCAGAACCTCCCTGATGTACATTAAAGAATCACAAATCATGGAGTTTCCTAAATAAAAATTTGTATTTAATCACAGAAGGATGATTCCAAGGAACTAGCAATTATCAATCAAACAGCCACCTTACCATTAACAGTCTCCATCTGGCCTTTTTCCAGACTAAAAAAAGAAAAACTTGTGCAAGCTAGAACGTTAGTTGCAACGGTGATTCATCATTTGTCCCCAGAAAGTCTATCCAACAGAAACAGAGCAGGCCATGCACCTGATGTTTTAATTGACCTTTGTGCAAGAGATAGAGCAAATTAATCCTTTAGTTGCTGAATTGACCACAAAAAGCAGAGATCTAACAGACCACTTGCTGTGTCTTGCTACTCCAGAATCTGTATCTGAAGTGATGAAGTCCTCAAAGCTGTCCTTTTTCAGCCAATGCTGCTAAACTAAGGCTAGGGATGAAGCTTCAAGGGAAACTAACTGTGTGTGATTGAAATATTGGACAAATCTTCACCATCACGGGCAGAAACAACACTGCAGTTCCGTGCAATGTAGCCTTATTCATGAGTTCCCACAAAACACACAAGGGGAGCATCACCCAGCCACCCTGTCCCTCCCTCAAGCCTCCCAAGTGAGGTGAGTCTCAAATGATGCCCTACCTTTGGGCCATGGCTGCCTGAGAGGAATGCCAGGGAGGAACTTTCCCCATGGTACTTGGAGGGAGGTGGGTAGATGTTGCCTTCTTCTGACGCACTGAGCAGAGGACATCTGTGAGGAGGAGGCTGGCATGTCCCACAAGATCGATGTCTTTTGTTGGCAGGTGGCAGACACTGGTGGCTCTTGGTCCTTCTCATGTGCTAGCTGGATTGTACTGAAGCAGAGGGTGTGCAAGCACGAGCATGTATTTCACTGGTCTCTACTACATAGAGTCAGCACCGCTCAACTGTGTGTCAAAGCTCAGTACCGCTAACGGAGATGCTCCTTCAGATAAACAGATTTTAGGAGCCTGTGCTTTGGAAGCAGGAGGATCTGAATTCTATCCGTGCTGACACAGACGTCCAAAGAGGCTGTGACACGAGCATAAGTGACAACCATGAAGTCCTGGAGAACCATGGGTTTGTACACTAAAATCCTATTACAAGAGACTGGGATATACACCAGGAAGTCCTAGGGTTTTGTCCTCTTGATATTTCTGCTTGGCCGTGTGATCCCTTTGGGAAGGAGCAGCACATGGTAGCAGAGGAGAAAGGACCTCTCCCAGCAGAAAGGCTGCCACAGTTATCAGACAGCTTTCCTTCCACCTGGGCTTTGTTATGTACATGAAGGGGCAGTGATATGAAATAAAGTGAAAGACGAATGGAAGAGAATTAAACTCTTATCACAGTTGAGGAGGGATATTGTTTGTTCCGGGGCTGGCAGAAAGACATTTGAATTCTTAGGAGGCTAAAGCAATCAGAAGGAAATGGAGCTTCATAGCCTTTACCCCTTGCCATGGCAAAGGGGAGACAAATTAATGGTCAGTAAAAATGAAAGGTACTATGACTCCCTGAGAACAGGGGATCCTGCTTGGTGCCCCGTGAGAATGCATCCCTGGATTGAGTTCATCAGCCACTGCTCTGGCCCCGTCACTACAGTAGCTGAGCACCTCACAAGCTAAAACCCAGATCTTCAAAGGTTCTTAGGCGCCTAACTCTGATTTCAAGGAGAGTTAGGTGCCTAAATACCTTTGAGATCAGGACCTAAGGGTACATCCATACAGCAGCTGGAGGTGTAATTTCCAGATCAGGCAGATGTATAAGCATGAATCTTGATTAAGGCAGTGCACAAAAAATAGCAGCATAGCCATGGCACAGGCTAGTCACTCAAGTACACACCTAGGATCTTAGGCAGGATTGTACGAGGGAAAGTTGCAGGTACTACCACCTGGGTCACTCTTTTTAAGTGCACTAGCTTGATCAGAGCCAGTGTGGCTATGCCTACCCAACCTGGAAATTGCACCTCCCAGCTCTAGTGTAGATACATCCTAAGTGACTTGTCCACAGTCAGACTGGGGTGCAGGAGGGACTTGACCCCATATCTCCCAAATTGTAGGCACATACCCAAACCATCAGACAATGCTCCCCTTTTCAACCAGATACTCTAGTTCTCAGCAGAGCCAGACTGCTGGCAAAAGTAATAGACGCCAGCATCTCAGAAAGCCCTGTGGGATGCTCGAGTATTATAGCGGTTTATTATTTGCATTCCGCTAGCGCCTAGGGCCCCAAGGAGGGATCAGGACCCCATCAAGCTAAGTGCTGTCTACACATATCATGAAACAATGGCCGCAAAGTGCTTAGGCCCAGATCCTGAAAGTTATTTAGGTTACAGTCTTCCACTGAAGTGAAATACATTGAGCAGCTGGGCCTTACAGTCTAACTAATGTTTCCTTTTTCCAGTGTTTCTGATCGGGGAAGGGGGGGGCACGGCGCAGGTGTAGCGGTTTTGGACTCACCCCTGCAGCGCCTCCCACTGGTCATCCAGGGAATTAGCGTTCCAGCCTCCAGAGCGCCCTCTGCAGGCCGGCATCCCACTTGCTCCCGAGTCCCTCCTGGATCCCGGTGCCCCCTTCCACACCAGGGTGCTGCCACCTGCAGTACCGCACAAAGATCTGGGTCTCCCCTCCCCAGGGAACCCCCAACCCTCTACCCCACCTCGACTCAGTCTATGGCCACTGCCAATCATCACCTAGCCCCCATTCCCTGGGGCCAACTGCTCTGTAAGCACCACTCATCATAGGCAAGGGGGGTTTGGACCTGCTGCCTCTGCCTACCCCTTGGGCTGCCCTCTGCAACTCCAGTACCTATGTGGCCTTCCACTAGGCCTGCAGCCTGGGGGGTTTCCAGGCCGGAGCTCCCCAGCTCCTCTGGCCTTCCCCCAGCCCTGCTCCACCTCAGGTACTTTGGTATCCTCCCAGCAGCCAGATCCCTCCCTCTCCACAGGCTAGAGAGAGTCTCTCTGCGCCTGGCTTCCCTGGCTTTTATAGGGAAGCCTATAAAGGGTCTGTTTGGGGCATGGCCACAGCTAAGGCTGCCTCCCAATCAGCCCAGCTTTTCCCCTGCCCCAGCCCTCTCCCAGGGCTGTTTTAAGCCCTTCCAGGAGGAGCAGAGCAGGTGACCACCCCGCTACAGGGGGGTACATCGGGGATATATAAAAGATAACTCTTGTTTCTGATGACATGTGTGTGCATGAGCATAGCTGGGATATATAAATGATCACGCATGTTTCTGATGATGTGTGGTGTGCATGTGTACCTGGAATGCCTTGCAGCATTCTGGCGACATGTTTGAAAAGCGTAAGACGCCATCTGTGGACAATGGCCCCAGTACTGTGTAGACTGGAGCGACTGTAAACGCCTGTGTTACGAATGAAGTCATTCCACTTTATGCCCAATATACGTCGGCTTTTTGTGTGGAAAGCCTCTGGCTTTGCCCGGCCTGAGCGGCATAGTGTCCATGTTTCACAGCCGTACAGCAGTACTGGGAGGATATAGCTCAAATAGATCCTGAACACGGTTGTTGTACTGAGATGATGCTAGTTCCATATTTCTTCTAAACAACCCATGGCAGACACTGCGATGCCAATCCGGTGAAGAACCTCCGGGTGAGAGTTTGAGGAACTGGTGAGTATAGGACCCAAATAGCAAAAGCTGGAAACTTCTTTGACAGTTTCCTTATTCAAAGATTGAAGTCACTGGTGGACCTGATCCTAGGTTTTGCAGCTTTGTCTGTTACCATGACTGACCTTGGCCGACTCCTCCTCCATTTGCTGGAGTGCTTCGCAAAACCTGTCTGGGCTCTGTACTAGGGGAACAATGTCATCAGCATAGACTAGGTCTGAGAGCGAGAGATCACTGATCTGAATGCCTATTGACCTGACAGAATGCTGCATTACGAAATCCACTGCCTGACAAAAGAGCATAGGGGCCAAGACACAGCCCTGCCTGATCCTAAATACTGATTTTAAAGGTGTCAACCTCCCATTCCCAAGATGTCCATGGGCAGTGGTTCTGTGTAGCTCACTAATCAAGTCCAGAAGACTGATTGGGACATGTATGCCCTTAAGGCCTTCCATAAAGTGACTCAGTCAACTGAATCAAATGCAGCCTTAAGATCAACTTACACCATGTGAACTTGCAGTGTATCTCCAACAACAAGCAGAGGACCAAAATGGCATCTAACGTGGTTGTGTTCCTCATAAAATCTGACTGATGGGGGTGACATTTCCGATGTAGCAGGGGCTCCAAACACACCAGCAGAACATGCTCAAACACATTCCCTGCCACGGACAACAAGGTGATTGGCCTGTAGCTCTTACATTCACTGCGCGTTCCCTTGCCCTTATAAAGTGAGATCACAATACCGTCCTTCCAGGCAGCTGGCAAGGTTCCAGTTCTCCACATCAGGTGAAAGTTGGCCAGACGTGTATCTGGGATATATAAATGGCTGGTCACCCATGCAGCATGTCTTCTTTATAACTGGTGCTGTGAAATATGAGGTGCAAAAGGCCTGTTCTCATGGAGGCTGGATCTAGCTCCACAGTCTGAGACCTTATCTGCGAATTTTGCCAAACCACTGGAAAATAAGCCAGGGTTTCAATGAGCAATGAGATCCTGAGCCATGACCTGGCTCCCCTGTGGCAAATGATGTGCAGGCTCCTAGTGGAACAAGTCACTTCCATGTCTCCCCCACAGAGGAAATAACAGCCTCTGTGGTCCCAGGGATTTATGTCACGGGTCAGGGTCACAGAGTTTATACCCAAGAACAGCCCAGCTCAGCAATCCCTCTCCACAGCAAATGCTCACCTTATGGGAGGTCAGCTAGTGTGTGTTGAGACAGGAAGGAAGGAAGGAAGGCCATTCCTGTAAGCGACACAGATATTGACACAAAGGGAACGTTCAGCACCAAGGGGCCTGGGATGGGGCTTAGGGGGGTGGGATAGCTCAGTGGTTTGAGCATTGGCCTGCTAAACCCACCATTGTGAGTTCAATCCTTGAGAGGGCCATTTAGGGATCTGGGGCAAAAATTGGGGATTGGTCCTGCTTTGTTAGACGAGATGACCTCCTGAGGTTCCTTTCAACCCTGATATTCTGTGATTCTATGAACACCTGCAAGGTAAGGGATAAAACCCCAATTAGTCACATGCCGCACCTGGGGGGTGACTGATTAACTAATTGCCTCCTGGCCTTGTAAGTAGACTGAGGGAACTCAGGGATGGAGAGAAGACCCTAGAGAGAGAAGGTAGAGAGTTCCTGGCCTTGCTTGGGCCTGGGGAAGGCAGACTAAGGAAGGCCACGGGGTCAGGAGTGGTCCCCATGGTGGGCCCTGCAAAAAAAGGGGGAAAGATCTAGGGAGAGATTGAAAAGAAAGTGGGAATCTCCCACAGAGGGAGACTCCCAGTGAGCAGAGCAGGCTCCTGTGGGAGAGAGCCCAGAGGTAGGGTTTGTAAGCAGAGAAGACTTCAGTCGCCCAAGGGGGCAGAAGAATTATGCAGTTTCTTTGCACTTGTTCATGATACCCAGGAAGGGGTCTGAAATGAGGTGACTTGGCTGGAGGGCTGAGCCACAGAAGACCTGGGGCCAGAGGCAGTTGGCCCGTAGGAGGTGCTAGAGCAGAACATAGCAGCAACACAGCCAGCACTGACAAAAGGAGGTGAGCGAGCACGGTCAAAAGGCCACCTTAGTGATTCCAGCCTCCATCCAGCCTCCTTGTCTAGCCAGCTAGGGACAGATTCTGCTGCCATTTACACTAGCATCAAGGACTCTACTGAAATCAATACGAGTTACTGTGGATTTACACCAGCGTAATTGAGATCAGAAGCTGGCCCTAGCTGTTTGGACAAATAGGGCTGTATTTAAACTGGGACTTTAATCCAGATTTACAACAGTGGAGGGGAGATCAGAATCTGGCTGTTAATTCTCAATTTTTATATTACCAGATGGGCCTGGATACACCCATTGCATTTAGGCCCATTGATTCACACAGGAGTTAGGTGCCTTAATACCTTTGAGGATCTGAGTCATGCAGCTTATATTAGGATCAGTCTTGAGATACGGATGATCTGTGCTTGGTGCAGGACCTGACTTCTGTGTGGGGGCAAGCAGTGCAAGTGGTTGTTGGCCACCTTTCTATCACTGCTTGTAATTCTGGGACCAGTTCAGCGCCTAGCACAACTTAGAGCAGCCTCCATATACATAACAGATGAGTGCTAATGTTGAGGAATCACTTTGCCCACCACTGAAACGCAGGCACCTCTGGAGTGAGATATGGCAGCTGACTGGTAGCACAAAAGTTTAGGCCAGGCTATGAACAGTACTGTAGACAACTGAAACCGCAGGAATTTTAGGTAGG